GTCTTCCCTCCCCGTCGTAATCCAGAGTTCGGGTTATTTGCAGAATTAAGAAGGAGAATTTCATGAATTACATGATTTTGTCTATTTTTCACGTGGTAAAATAAGATAGACTGGCGCCTAGCGGGACGCGGGCGTTAATGTTTGTCTATAGGTGGTTTTAATTCATTTTTGTATTAATTTTCTAATTTTTAAAGTATATGAAATTCGCCACAAGTACTTCAGATTTTCTACAAATTAATCACTTCTGCTCGAAAACTTCAAGAGAAACTTCGTAGACTGATGCTGCACCTCCTCCGCAGAGTTGATTCAAACAGCACACTGGGTGACTCCGATCATTTCCCTGGGGCCGCAGATGCAGTGGGCTTCGCAGAGGGGGGCCGGAACCGAGAGAACTCCGGGGACGAGTGAATGATGGGTGGAAAAAATATACAAATTACTGCCGCAGTGATCCTATACACGAAAACATTTAATCGAAAAAGCTAGCGCAATCGTTAGGAAATTAAATAGGATTTGTATTAAGGTATTTCCGCAGAAGTCATATGGGGGTAGAAGGAAATATGCTACAGGGTTGAAATTTTGAGAATATATTCTTTCAATAAATTAGAAAGTTGTCCCGAAAGTCCCAACATGATTCACCACATTGATTTTTGTAGAGAAAAAAATTAAAACTGTCATTTGTACAGAGGCTTATGAGACACATTTCAATGGGGAACGACAACCATGGACAATATGCTAAGAATCCAAATACTTCATTTATCGCATCGTACATGTTTCCAAAATACATTCTTGCAATGTCATTATTCATGACCACAGGAATCATGAGTTATTATTCAAAATGTGCGTCAAAATCATGATGTTTTTGGGGGTTATACGTTGGCGGATAGGACGTAAAAACGAGATTAGAGTGCACAATTTTCATCCCCACTCCTGTTTTTTGAGCTTACGGCGGAAGTACCTTAAACTTCTTTTAACAATTCTATCATTTTTTCGCCCATTCAATTTAAAAAAAATAAAATTCCGTAACCTTGCTGCGGGTTTTCTTCAATAGCAAATGGAATAAAAAATGTTTAATATTAGACTATTTCATATCAAGAATCAAATATGCACCTTTGACAATATGGAATAAATTTTTAATATTAAAGAGAATTTTGAGAGTAAATCGCAATATTGGCATCGATAAATATTAGGTGTATACCTTAATCATTCCGTTTTTTACCAAAAAAAAATATGTAACAATATAAAATATATAAATACTAGATCAATCCTCGAAATATCGTCCATCGTTTTCGATGACCTAGCGCCATCGATCGGGCAATATACGAATGCCATCGCGAAAAAAACTTGCAGGCATTGAGGAGATGGAGTCACCGACGAATTTTCGTATATCGTTCAGAGTTTGGAAGCGCCTTTCCTCCAAGGCGTGCTGCATGGACCGGAACAGATGGTAATCGGAAGGGGCGAAGTCCGGTGACTAAGCCGCGTGCAGGACAACCTCCCAGCCCAAGTTTAAAATCCTTCCCTGTGTAGCGCGAGTAATATGAGGTCGAGCGTTATAATGGAGCAACATGACTTTTCGGCTCCCTTGCCCAGTAAATGGCCTCTTCTCATCAAGTCCCTCGCTCCATTTGTTCAATTGTCGACTGTAGCGTTCTGCAGTAACTGTCTGACCCGTTTCCAAAAGTTTGTAATACAGTATACCCTTCATATCCCACCAGATACAGAGGAGAACCTTCTTCATGTGAATTTTTTATTGGGGAGTGTATGTCGATGGTTGTCCGAGATCCACCCATGACTTTTTCCGTTTGGAATTAGCAAAAAAAATATGTTTTTTAGCTGCCGTCACAATTTTTGACAAAAAATTTTTCTTCTGGCGCTTAGCGAGCAATGAAAGGCACGTGTTCATGCGTTGACCGCGGTTAAGTTCAGTCAGTTCGTGTGGAACCCATCTTCCTACGGTTTGTATTTTTCCCATTGCATATAATCGTTTAGAGACTGCTGCTTGAGTAACTCCTAGCTGAGCTGCAAGCTCTTTTTGGGTTTGCATTGAGTCTTTGTCGAGTAATTCTTGCAATTCAGCATCTTCAATTTTCAGAGGCTGTCCAGGGCATTCCCGGTCACTGAGATCGAAATCACTATCTTAAAAGCGTTTATATCAATATTTACAAGTATCATCGGACACAATATTACTTGCGAGAGTAAAACAACTTGAATCGTGGGCTTCAATGGCTTTTTCCCTTGTTGGAACTCGTAGAGAATACAGTGCCGAATGTGCTGCGTATCGGTCGCCATTGTATACAATATACTACTGTATATATACTACTATTTTGCGAAGTTACACAGCTCTTCCAGGCATGGCATATAGCGTATTAAAAACAGTAAGGTTCCCTCTTCCAAAGCGCAAACGGACGCGTAAATATTTAAATTTTAAATAAGACACGGCACTCAATGAAAAAAAACGAAAGATTAAGTTATACACCTAATATTATCACATGAAAGTTTTCTTACGGGATAATACAAAAGGATACACACCAAAGAAATCAAAAACTCTGACTTGGGATCACATTCAAATGTTTCTGCAAAACACCAGTGATGCGTTTTATCTCCTTGCCACAGTAAGTAATATTTACAATTCAGAATAATATTTATAATGAAAAATAATATTTACAGATGGAATGAATATTTACAATTGAAATTTGTGTATTTACAGGTTGGCCTAGTTTTGCGTATTGTTGGATTTTTGAGAACAAAAGAATTACACGATCTTAAACTAGCGTGCATTGAAGATGGTGGTTCAAGTATTGTTTATTTTTCAAATGTTTAAATTGTAATGAATAAAACATTACCTACGTGAATTATTACTTAAATCTTATTGAATTCTTTTTTCAGCGAAATTTTCACCTTGTTGGTTCTTTTGCCGAATTTGCATCAGGCGGCACGAAAAATAGTGTATGCGGCTCGCACCTAAAAGAACTCCTTGTGAGGCAACGATTTCACGGTAAAATCGCATGCCTCGCAAAGACTTCTTTTGGGCGCTTGCCACGTAATATACTACTATTATAACAGCTGTAGACAGCCTTACGGGCGGAATGACAAAAAAATCCCAAAAGGACAGTGATTTTTCTTACTGTTCTCAGTAAATTTTCCTCAACAGAGCCATGTTAACCATCTGACTAGCAATTCTATCCCCACTCCCTATAGGGCCCAGACGTTCGACGTGGAAGGGAATGAGTAGTGTGCGCGCGAATAGTGCTGTAGCGCAAAGCGCACGTTTGAATACATGAGTCCCAAATATAAAAATTTGTACAAGTAATTTATTGGCAGATACGATGAAACAAATTGAAGGAAGAAAAGAAGCAATTTGAAACAAGATATCTCATTGCTATCAAACTCCAAATCATGAACAGGACCTCGATTTTCAACAAATGGTTGCACTGGATAATGCCTAATATTTGAAGAGCATTTTTATTCAAGTGATTCATCATTTTTTTTCTTTTTCTTTGCTGAAAAATCATCTGGATTCATTTCCCAATTTAAAGGTATCTTTCTTTGTTTCACGTGTTTACCAGGACTTCCAGATACACTTTTAAAGAACCTTTCATTCTTTTTTCCAGGCACTCTTTATCACTGACATTTTCTCTTTTTTTATCTCTCATTATTTGTTGTCTATCTATCAAAACTTCTATTAAGTATTACACGAGAATATGCAGAGGGCCCCGATAGCTTTGCAATACTTACAACGGTTCTGACACGAAAGTAGTGAGGGAATAGTCACATGACCATTTCTCACTTACACATCGCGTGGCGCGCTGTGATTGGCGGCCATCACACCGATTCGGTTTTGTACGGTTTGCGAGTTAGAGGGTTAAACTAGTTTAGGGTGCGAGCACGGTTATCTTTCTAGTATGTTTTTCTGTGTACTCGACTTGTCTTAAGCAGGGCGCTTATAACTGTACAAACAGAATCCAGTAATGTTCACCCAATGACATCAGGTTTTTTCAATAACTGCAGTGAATTCATAATTTCATTGGCTTCAAACATGATTCTAAATGATTGCCTGATTAATCATTTTTCCATTGACTCCATTTAAATTAACCGAATGTCTTCATAACTAAAACCACTACAATCTCGCTAATCCAGATTTTAAAATATTGGAATTAAGTAATTATACTTATCACAACGATCAGTTTTATCATCATAGAAGATCTAGCGGACGATTTCCAAATATAATAGTTGTAAGTAATGATCCGTCTCATATAAATGAAGCCGTAGAAAATACAGAAAATGACCGGCCAAATGTAGCACACTAATCGAAATCATAAATTATTTCACAGGATTTTTTTTGCGTCGTCTCTTCAGAACTACACCAATAAGAAAATCAAAGGAAGTTTCCCGAAATTCGATTTGCCTGTTGCAACCTTCACTCCCAAATTTGTAGGAAAAAAATACCACTTCTTTCGCACATATTTCAAAAAGAATGTGAAATAAGTTAGTTAGCTTCACGATTCTGTAGAGTCATATCAAATACCCCTAAATTTAATTCAGTTGGTAAGTGATATGTGCAATCAATTATGCACTCAAACTTAAATTAGTCTAGTATTATCAGAAAAATTAGTGTATAAACAATTAAAATTCTTTATAAATAATATAATATAACTCTATTGATGTATTTTAAGTATGTTTTAATTCTTTCCATTTCACCAACACCTATCCAAGGCAGACTCGGACAGGTCACTCGCCGCTGATGGCAGGTACGAAAATCTGTGTCGCCGTACTGTACCCAGTATATTTGGGACTTACAACACGAGAAAGGAGTCCAGCAAAAATACGGCCCCACACGCGCTGTCTCCACGAAATAACTCCATATTTGGAAATCATGAGATTTCTTTTTTTTTATGGGTGTTTTTAAATCAACTTGATTGGCGGATGACAACACGATTTCAGGAGTTACTTGCATCTTAGCCTTAGGCCATTGGTAACCATTAGTGGAATTTTCCTTTCAGAGACACAAAATCTTTTTAATACGCGGAGATCTGCCGATGCTTGTGAGGGCACTTGAAGCACGTGGCTGGCTGCAGAAGTACGAATCCTTTAAAACCCGAATGCTACCCTATGGTGAGTTTAATCTCTTTCGCTCGTTCTCTAACTCTTTGGATTTTCCTTCAAGTATGCAATTAAATCCACTACATATCAGCAGGTATCATGAGTATGGATTCAAAATCGTTGGTTGATATTATCCAAGGAGACGGCTCATTAAACGAGAAAGCACTTGTGTTTGCTCTCTTACGAACTACACCACCAGACTTCATTTGGGACTGTCGCAATGACTTTGTTGAGTGGGATTCTTCCCTCAAGCATAATGTTCTTTTAAATCGTTTCGAAAGATCCTCAGTTTATACATCAAAAGTACAACCTTTTACCTAGGATAGTTGAATATCTAGTTTTTGAGGATACATTTTTTTCAAGAATTTCTCTTTACATTCTTTATTTAAAATAGTTGGGTATGGCTCGCATACTTGAACAGGCGCACTGGTTTTATGAGGAGGATGTATCAAGCCTCGAGTTTCCACGTAGTTACAATCCAGCTCGGGATGCAAATGCATTTTTAGAGGATTTTCGTCGTACAGCAGCCGTTGGCTTGTTAAAGTGGTTTGTCATGAGAATTCAGGACGGGTTGGGTATTGTTGTGGAGGAAAGTCAGTCGATTCCTATCAGTAGATTGGAATTTGCACTGAAAATATGTCAGAGGTATTTAGTTGATATTGAGCATGAGAATATTGATCAAGTGGGGACGTTAGAGACTACGGATGACGAGTGGAATACTTTCGTTGAAGATTATTCAAGTGTTATTCACAGAGGCTTTGGAATATCCAATATTGAGGAGGATGCTCCGGTGAAACTCGAGGTTTGCATGAAATTTACTTATTTGAAAAGAAATGTTAGGGAAAATTCAATTCATGAGTATGAAATAATGGATTCAGCTATTGAAAAACTACATTTACGTGTGTGAAGAATCTGTATCAACTTGTTTATTCTGTCCATGATTTTATTGAGAATCATGAGTTTTTCTATAGGAGTTTTTTCCTATAGGACAATTCTTGTTAACTGCCCTCAGTACAGAGATTTCTGAAAATTAGATATTCTATTCGTACGAGGCAATTATTATAGGTATTATTATTAAAATGTCTTATGGAAAATTTCATGCTCAGAAATTTCTGTAGGCGAAACTTTAACACAATGATTGTAAAGCGTTAATAGTTGTAAAGCAGTTAATCACAAAAGGGAAAAATAAAATGTGAGAAATAAAATTCCATAAATTATGAAATATTAATGACGAATAAGAGAGAGAGAAACGACAGAGCAACAAACATAAAATGATGAATATTTTGGTGATCTAGTAATTTCTTACGAATCATTTTTTTCCAAAATACCTTTCAAATAACCGAAGTTATTAATCGTCGTTGTAATCCTCAAAGTGTATGCCCAACCCAAATAATCATTGCTTAAACTCGTGTTTCATATCATTTTTTCCAGAAAATCTCGTTGGAAAATTGTGTAAGCTCTAATCAACCAAACACATAGATCCCTCCCTCTGTATCGACGTCAGGAGTCAAAATCAGGAGTCGAAGTCGATTATTTTCCTATTGCACAATTTTTTGTCAAATTTTTCTATTGAAAGGAATACACGCCATGGCTACGGAATTTTCAATAGAATTCGGCAAGAAACTCATAGGAATCTTGATAGAATTTTTTGGCGATGGCGCTTCCCTTTTTCCCTAACTTTTTCATGTGTTAAAGATTCATAAAATTTCTGATATTACCGTTATAATAATACTAAAAGATGTTTATGATATCGAATGTTATTCTGCTGTATCACGAAAATTTTCACAACGCTTTGATCTTCCATTCCTCAAATCAAGTGATATTCCATAAAATTCCCACTAGTATTCGGTGTATTTTTTCTGATCGTCAGCTTTACCCTGATTTTTCACTCCCTTTTCCAGAAATGCTATTTACTGGCATTTGAAACTCTGAAAAAACTTGGGGAATGCGACCCGCAGTTTGAGCTCAATGGAATGAGAAATATTTGGATTTTAAAACCAAGCGATCTGTGCTGTGGCACTGGAATCAGTATATCTCACTGTATCAAAGATATATATCGTCGAGTTGACTCTAAACCCAAGGATTATTTTATCATACAAAAATACATCGGTGAGAGGTGGCTTTTTATTTCTCATGAATAATTGATACTGATTAATTAGTGTTCAAAATTTAATGTCACAAGAAAAACTAGAGCAGTGAAAATAATAATTTATTTATTTTTCACTGCAGAAAAGCCACTGCTGATTCAAGAAACGAAGTTTGACATTCGTTTGTGGTATCTCGTGACCAGCACACTTCCTTTGACCATCTGGTTATTTAAGTAATGAATCACATATGAGAAATTCCACACCACATTCGAACCATAGAAATTTTATGTCGGGAATTCCTTTAACAATTTTTTTGAAAGTGTTGGGCATCGGACGTACATTTTGAAAACAAAATTATTAATAATTCATTACGGAAGTTAATATTTCTTGAAAACTTGCATTTTTTTCATTAAAAAAATGAATTTCATCGAAGAAAAACTACAAATTTTGAAAACATTTATGAAACTCCGGTAATTATGAATATTTCTTGATGATTTTTTTTTCAAAATGAGGATAATTCAAAAATCTTCGACATGGAATTTTTAGGGCTTCGGGTTTGGTGTGGAACTGGCCGTATTCCACATCCATTCGTTTATGAATAACGGATTTTCAAAAAAACACATATATATATATAAACTACAGACCTTGAAGAACTGTAGCAATGCATTGAAACAATTTTCCATCTCTCAAAAAAAAACATGAATGCAATTTCTAATATTTACTTTGACTACAGAGAAGCACTATTAAGATTCAGCTCTAAGCCCTACTCGGTTTCCACTTATCACGAGGCAATTCATCTCTGTAATACCGCTATTCAGCAGAAATATGACTACGAGAAGCGGCGGAGACGTAAAAGGGACAATATTGATGAAACTGAAGAATCAATTCGTGATCGAGGATGGGATTGCAAAATGCTGAACGAATATTTAAAGTAATTTCACGTTTCGTTTCCATTCGTCCGGATGGGGTAGATAAAATTTATGATAAAAATATTCCACTCCAATTCATCACCACTAATGGACATGAAATTGTCAGGTGCTAAAATATATATTCCCTTTCTCACCAGCTTTCGTTTTTTCTCTTCTTTATACGTTTTAGGACTCGGGGATTTAGCGGCGAGCCATATTACGACACTATATATCCGAAAATGTCACAGGCCATTGTGCTGACGATGCTGGCGGCACAGGAGCATATGGATCGTAGACGATGCAGTTTTGAACTTTATGGCGCTGATTTTATGGTACTGGATGACCTGTCCGTATGGCTAATTGAAATTAATACGAACCCACGTATGCATCCACCGAGTTCAAAAATAACTCAACGACTCTATGATACCGTACTTGAGAGTGTTGTCAAAGGTTAGCAAAGTTTAAGATTGTCAACTATCGTGAAAGAAACACAAGGTGAGAATCGTGGAGCGAGGAGTTGAGCCTTCGCATAAGAAAGTTCTATGACTTCTGGCGACTCTTTCTGGCCACTTTTCTACCTCAATCCTCATCCTTCATCCTCCGCACTCACTAGAAAACTTACCGGTGGGTCTCACGTTAGCTGTGTTTGTATTGACGGCACGAGTTGGCCACTAATCAAACAACTCGGACTATTGTAAATGGTCCTCGCTGAACTTTTTTCCCTCACCTCTTCCCATGTTTTTATTCTCTCTACGTTGTCTTTTATTTCTATCCAACTTCAACTACAAGTCCAAGGACTTGCTCCAAGCGTTTTTCCATGAAATTTCAAAGAGTTCCTTGGATTTAGAAGCAAAAAATGTAGATGTTTGGACGAGGTGAGTTTGAGTTTTATGTTCAATCGTTTTTTATTGCAGTTGTGATGGACTTACCACTCGATCCGTCGGCTGATACCGGAGGTTTCCAACTCGCTTACAAGCAAGATTCCCTGGATTTCATTCCCTATCTTGGTCTTGGTCTCTTTGTATTTGGTAAACATATGGTACTACGAGAAAACGAGGATAAGGATGTGAACAACAGTAGGACAAATATTTGCAGTCCGTGGGGGAGACACAGTCGTGCATGGACAGCACCGGCTAGATCGCACAATAAAAATCCGAAGGTTGTTGATTTTGTCAATAGCGTCGAGTAATGACGGACTGAACACATGAAATATATAATTGTTGATTTATCAATTTTAGTGATATACCAATATTTGACGAATTCACTTGTGCAAATCTGTTTTAATAAACCCCCAAATTTTATGTATCCTTCCCTAGCCAAATTAAAAGAAGATACTGGAGTAATAATAGTAAAAATAATATCAAAGACATTGGATTTCTTGATATGTACATACAATTGTTTTATTTACAATTATTCGGTAATTGTATCCTCGATGATGATTTTATGACATTTTTTAATCCTTAGATTTGAAACTTGGACTTTAACAAAATACTACATCTTTATAAATCATTGTGCCGTGTATTTAATACGTAAAGAAACAATTTCTCTTGGTCACAATAGTACAATAGAAATGGTAATAGTAGATTTTACCCTGCTGAAAAGATTATTCTCCTCGTCTTGATTTTCCTTCTTTTCATACTCTTCAAAGCCAGAAATATTTACGACCGACTGAACTTCAACCTCACCGGTAATTCAGATTTATGCAGGTAATGGATCTCATATAAATAGAATCTTAGTTGCTATCGTAGTTAAGAACAAAAGAAATCTCAAGTCGGTGTGTAAATTCGCACTGGCTCCATGATGCATTGCAGCTGGATGCTCCTCTGTAACATGAAAAAAGGGAAGAAGATGCATGAATGATTCGAAGTATTCTGAATGGGAAATGGTCCAGACTAAAGGCACTCAGAGTTGAATGCCACTGGATCAATAATCCTTTGAAATACTCTTAAGAGAGTGAAGGAAACAAGATGCTAAAACCAAATGAGAGAATTAACCCGGTGAAGGTAAAAAAAATTGAAAACTTAATGTATCTCGACTCTCCAGTTACTCATTTAATGGCGGAGGAGAAGATGTAATGTAAGCCTGACAATTGAAAGCTCATTCTACGAGATGTTAATGATGTTAGAATCATTACCTTTGACAACGTGAACTCTTATACTGTTGGGATTTGCATTACTTGGCTTGCAGGTGTAGAGTCCAGAGTCACTTGGCACCGCATTCTGTATCATCAATCGACTTGATGTTTCACGACCCTTTTCAGTCACCAGACTGATACCTCCACGGGGTGAGTCAAAATTGATATCCTTGAGGGTTATCCACATGTAAGAGAAAAAAATAGATTGGCAGAGAAAAAATTACATGAATGGAATGTCATCTAAATTCACGTGCCTGCCGTTTTATGGCTACACAATATTGGGGGGAGGATGTTTATTTGCTTGTATAGTTATGTTCGGACCTTTGTGATGGATGAGAGATAGACAAGCTAATCATTAAAAAAAATCCCGCTAAATCGTGAGGTTTTCACTTTGGATGATGTTGTTCATATTCATATTAATAAAATTTGTAGGAAGAAACTCATAGGACATTGGATGAAATGAATATACAATGCTATCTCATTGTTTCCAGAGCCTGAGGAAGCTTTAATTGAAAGAGAAACGTCGCTAATTGACAATGAGATAGCATTGTATACTCATTTCATCCAATGTCTTATGATTTTCTTCCTACAAAGGTTTTCACTTTTTTTTCACCAAGACATTTTTGTGACTTTGCACCTAGTTATTTTGTCAGTGGGGATTAGTAAATCTTCCTGGTAAACAGCAAAAATAAATATTTTATGAAAGAAAACGGGGCGACGAAATATTTTTTGGTTGCTTCTGAATGTGAAGAAGACTATTTTTGATGTGGATACGTCTATGATTTCGTTTTGGGGGGTCATTCGGTAAAAAAATCCTTGTGTGGCCGCATCATCTATCGGCGATACTGACTGTCGATACATTACCAGCCGTCGACCGATCGGTACGATACCGACAGTTTGTTAATCATAGAAATTTCCAGTGCTGAAATTTCTAAATTCAAAATCCCCTATAAAAGACGGATCGGCGCGCTCCATCGTCAGTCGTAAATTGACAATCAAAGAGTTAACATCATATAAAGTAAAAGAGTGTGAATATCTGGTGCAGTGATACGGTCAGTCTAGATATTGATGTGGATACGTCTATGGTTTCAATATGAGGGGTCCTTTTGGGAAACGGTCCTTATGTGCAACGCCATTTATCGGAATTCTAGAAAATTCTAGACATTTCGAGATAATTCGAGAAGTTTCTTGAAATTTCGAAAAAATTCAAGAAGTTTCTAGAAATTTCGAGGAAATTCAGAGAGTTTCTAGAAAATTGGAGGGAATTCAAGGAGTTTCTAGAAAATTCCAGAGGATTCAAGGAGTTTCCAGAAAATTCGAGGGAGTGCAAGGAGTTTCTAAGAAATTCGAGAAAAAAGGAAAGACCATGAATGTATCCACGTACAATTACAGCTGTATCTAAGATACAGCCGCCTGCATTTTTGAGAAAAACAGAACTTTCCATAAAAAATTGGAAGAAATTGAGAAATCAATGAAAAATCAGCATCGGAAGAAGTATTGTTCTTCTAAAAAATTGTCTTCCTTATTTCTAAGCGCGATCAAATAAAACGTTCAACTGGCAGAATTTTTTGATAAAAATATTTATTTTTGATATTTTTTTAGCAAGATTTTACTGCTATTTGTAACAATGAGAAAGTCATTAGTTTTATGTTGGTCTATGTTCGATGCCGGATCTGATTTTTGCGGAATTCGCGAACGATGGGCGAGATTTAAATGGATTTTGACGGGAGCGGGAGAAGGTCCACAAATCACCAAACCTGCACGTTGGTCAACTCAGTCAATTTAATTTAAATGAAAGTCAATATTTACAGTCGTTTCAAAATAATTACAATGGTCAAGAAATTAGCGCGGGTCACAATAATGAGAAACACAGTTCGCAGAACAAGATGACGCAGAGCAACTAGTGCGCGGAACTTTAACAGAATAACGTATTCGCGTAAAAGCCATGTACACTGTACGATGGCCGATATGCAAATGAGACCGATTAAAGGACCGCAAGGTGGCAGGTGTCGATCATCCAGGGTCCGAACGTGCCCCAATTTAAATGGGGGCGTTCATTGGACACCTGTCCATCAAGTGGCGCTTCAGGTGTCAGAGGTGAGAGGCCACTGGTCACTTTAGACGGTTGCGCAGGTCAGTTGTGCGTAGGCCATGCGTGCATGCGAGCGAAGCTTGTGTGAGTGCATGCGTGTCTATGAGTGTGTGTGTGTGTGTATGGAAAAATACTTCGGTGAAAAACCGACCATTCTCCCTCGCCGTCAGCAACAGCTGACACTATCGAGTAGGTCTGTAACAAAAAAAGATTAATAATGCTCAGGACAATAGTTTCTCGAAGAACAACATCACCATCGTAGTTCACCAGTGACGTTCAGATGTGAGTACAGCCGAGAACGTAGGAGGCGTAAATTCCATCAGACCTTGGCAGACTCACGTCCACTTCGAACTAGTTGCCACGAAATTCCAAGGATCACGAAAGTCAGAGTAGAGCTGGAGAAAGTGCGGGTCTTTTGAGATTCTACCGAGCATCCGATGGAGACAAGCTAGCGCTGGACGATAGGAATACCCTAATGACGAAACTGGAGCTGAGAAGGGCAAGCGAACGACATATCGACCTGAGCTATCCCTTGAGTGAGTCTGACGGAAGTGCTGTTCACACTCCAATTCTTCCTTTGAGAGATTCGCGTCAATGCGTCCAAGAATTGCCTCCTGAACCCAAAACTTGGTGAAAAGGTCATTGAGCTCGTCGTTCGATACGCTGAGATGATGAGAAGAGCAAGATGTTGGTTGATCAGGTCCCGCTGGTCCGAAAACAATCCAGCCAAAGCTGGTGAGTTGAGCGACTAGAGTCTGAACCCCTCCTCTAATCACGTTGGGCTTAATGAACTGGCCAAAAACATCAGCACCGACGAGAAGGTCAATTGGTGCAGAGACTCGAAAATGAGGATCAGCAAGCTCTAAACCCTCGATATGATCGCACTCAAGGCCCTCTGCTGAGAAGGATGGTAGCGTTGAGGTGAGACGATCAAGAGAGTGAGCTGTAACTTCAATGCGTTCTTCTGAGTGGATCGATTGTAGCGTGAGATGTACTTCGTCGGACGTGGTCCCAAACGATGATTCTCCCACTCCTGTAATGTGGATAGAACTACGGATTCTCTTTAAATTTAACTTCCGAACTAGCTTATCTGAGATGAGCCAGAGTTCGAACTCTGTATCCAACAAGAGTCGAACTTGATGCCGGGGCAAAAATCGCTAACGAGAACAGCTAAACAAGTGGCGAGGACTCCAGGCCGAGAGGTTTGCGCAGAACAACTGTGAGCCGAACAAGAAATCGACGCTTGGGACAGTCCGCTTGAAGGCCTGAGGATGAGCTAAAGACGTAGCCTGAGTAGAGTCACCGGTGTGAGTATAAGTCACGACAGGTACGCTGGTCAATAGAGCGGAAGTACTCGGGCGCTGCGCTCCTGAATCTTTAAGAGAAACTTGGGACGCTGGACCACGCTGAGCTGGACGACGGGAACGATCCAAATGTAGCAGGGTATGGTGTCTTTCCTGGCATTGGAAGCACTTACGAGTGGTCTGACATACCCTGATGCTGTACTTCCCCAGACAGTTGAAGCACAGATAGAGACGATCCACGACTTCCTTGTGACCAGCTGGCGAAAGGCAATATGAACAGGGATACCTGCCCGTCTCAGCCCATGATTGAGTTGGAGAGGACCGTAGTTTGCGCGCTGGACCTTGAGGCTGCTGAGACGGATGGTAAGCTGGCCGATTGGAAGTCACTGCGTTGACCTTGCCGCTGGACTTCGACGCAGGACGAGATTGTACGCTGGGCTGCGAAAATTTCGACGGGCTTGAGTTGAGAGAACTAGACCCAGCTTCTAAAGTTTCCATCGTCCTGAAGCGACTTTGTAGAAACTCGGCGAGCTGTCAAGAGAAGGATACTCAGATGAGGCCTCGATTTTGTTTTCCCATGCCTCACGAAGCTTGTCGGATAGTCGATGGACAATGACATGGACAACCACTGCACCCCACTGATCAGTAGGTTGTCCCAGGGCTTTGAGTGCGCTGAGTGCTTCAGTGACTGAGCTGGTCAACAAATTGAGCTCCATGGCGCTGTGAAACGACATCGAAGGCGGATATAGAAGCTGGTCTAGATGAGCTGAAACTAGCAAACGTTGGTTCTCGTAGCGATTCATAAGGATTCCCCAAGCTATCGAGAAGGATTCCTCCGAGATGGGCAAATTCGAAATCAGCTTAAGTGGTTCATCAGAAAGAGAGAGACGAACGTAGAGCATGCGCTCAACTCCCGGAATGTCAGGGTTATTCCCGACCAGAGAGCGGAATAAGTCACGCCATGGCCTCCACTCTCTATAAACTCCAGAGAACTTAGGCAGTTCGATCTCTGGAAGCGCCCTACGTGTCGAGCTGAACGAATGACCCTCAGTCTGACCCCCGCGCATGGTCTGATTGAGGTTCGGAGCCCCCTTATTCTCCATCAGTTGCGTGATCGCGGTCTTAGCTGGCGCGTATTTAGTCGAAGCTTGGTCAAAAACCTGATTGTTGAAATAAGAGAGTTCCAGTAAACCCTCCATCTTCGAACTACTAGCTACGAGCTTCTCATGAGTGGACTCAAGTTTGTCCCAATATTTCTCGAGCAGTGCCAACTTGGACTCCAGCGCAGTAAGTCCAAGCTGCTTCGCACTATTCCCCTTTGCTTCGTTGCAAGTTTCCACGATAAATGCTGCGCGAGTCATTTGAAGCGTGATAGTTGCTTCAAGAGCCGACATATTGAATGTGACAATATGCGTTAAACAAAGAGAAGAAAAAAAAACGCAATAACGCAGGTCGCAATCCGGAATTAAACTCGGTTTTGTTTCTTTAGAAAGAGCAGTTAAAAAAAATACGGAGACCGTAGGCGCAGGTCCGATGATCCCAAAAAAAAGAAGGGTTCAAAAATAATAAAATTTCGAAACTAATTCCGAAGAATAGCGAATATCCAACAAAATAAATTAAATCGCCAATGCAAGTCCAAATGGTTCCAGGCACAAGAAATCCAAAAGAATCAATAAAGGAGAAATAACAATGTAAACTTCCCTTTAGACAGCGCTGGTCAGTTTGAATTTCCTGCCTGGCCGGTATCGCAGATCTCTGAAGCGGTGTGGAGAG